ATTCCATCCGTTTTAACTACATTCAATTCAATGGATGGATCCACTCTCTCATGTTTCCAAATTATCTACTACTCTACCCACCATCACAACAGCTTCTCATACGTATGCTGCACCAGGTTATATTGTCATCCATCTCCAATCATCTCATCTATGCGTTGTTGTTGCAGGACCTCGTCGACAGGATCCTCGCCCTGCTCTCCGACGACCAAGGTCAGCCGCCCCACTTCTTTCCCAACCCTCTCCTTGCCCGTGCAATGCACCCCTGTCATCAACTGCAAAGCAGCCCCAGCGTTCTTTGTAGGGAAAAAAAATCACCTGCTACTTACTAACTTGCCTTGATATGTATGTGGCTGCCTCAGCCCAATGGCACCTTGGTCGAGGGAGGAAGAACGCTCCCAGCAAGGAGGCGGTGCTCAAAATAGTCGACGACATATACAGGTTAGCTAGCTTCCATGCCATTTCCCACTTGTCCACCCTTCTTTCCTTCCTATTTCAGTGCTACTGGTACTTGGCTTATCACACCATTCATTCATTGCCATAGCAGGAAGATGCAAGTCCACGGTCCTCCTGACCTCGTGGTATCTCCTGCTCAGAGCCAGCTGCCTGTCACGCCGGATTTCAACCGCATCATCAAAGCTAAAAAGGAACAATTGGGCCCTGACTCTGGCTGCCTTTGTGGTCAATCCTTTGTTCTCGGGAATGTGGTCAAGGTGTGCCCATCTGCCCTGCCCTGGCTGTCCTTCTCTCCAACGGACAAAAAATGACCATGTTTTCTACACTTGTTTGATTGTTTGTGTGCTTGCTTCTTCTAGTGCGACGATTGCCAGGTCCAGCAGCATATCGACTGTGTGCTGATTCCAGAGAAGCCTGCAGTGGGTGTCAGACCTGAAGCTCCAGAGCATTACTTTTGTCAGTTGTGCCGACTAATCCGAGCAGACCCGTATGCCCTCCTACAATCCACTTCCATTTGCTATTTCTTTCTGTCATTTGCCATCTTGACCACTACTGTTACTGGAAACTTCAAAGCGATTCAGACTATTTGTTGCTTCCAGCATTCAAAGTTAGCATGTCCAACCAAATGGGCACTAATGGTAAACTTAATCATGATCCTTATACATATACAACTCTACTGTTGTAACCTAGGTAGGAATTTAACGAACTTGTCAGGTCGAGAGTTGCATCAACTGTATGACTGATTGGTTGATTCAGACTCCCATTATTTGCCAGTAGGCTGAAAAGGAACCTTATGGATCTTATTTGGAGCTCTCGTGTAGCACTACATGTTGCGCCTTGTCTCTAAAACTGTCTTCTAGTATATCATGACAATATCTGAGGGAACAAGATTTAACCCAATAAGTTTCCTATTGATTCTATACAACTTTGTCTCTATTCCTGCATGGATTGCTTGGAATTGAAATAGTTTCTGCACATTTGCTACAGTGACTATTTTGAACCTGCAGATATTGGATTACTACTGGAAATCCTTTACTACCTGTGAGACTGATTACAAATGATGGGTGAGTGTAACTTTATGGGCAATGTATTCCTTGATAGTCTGGTAATTGCTACACTATAATCATCACTTACTGAGCATTTCAAATTATATTGGAAGGAGTGACCTTATTTGTAGTAGAATACTCTTCGTTGGCTTTGTCAGTCACACTATTATGTGCTACATTCAGTCCACAGTAATCTTACAGAATTCTCAACCATTTGCAGAGTGAATGTTCCTCAGAGTGTGGAGAGAACTTTTCTACTTACTCGAGCTGAGAGGGAGACTGTTCAGAGAGTGGAATATGATATTCAGGTTTGATTCCCTTTTCCTCTGAGACTGATTACTGTCATCCTTTACATTTCCTTTCCACAAGGACAATGACACTTTAATAATGTCATATGGAAATTATTAGCAGTGTGATGCTGCTTTTTCATAACCTTTTCTAAAGGGGAGGGTGCTATAAAATTAACTGAGTGTGGCATGTTCATGATTGCTTGTCATGTTGTCAAAGGCGAAACTCCTTCAAGAGTACCAAATTGCAGATTTTCTTTTTGTGATTTTTAACCTTTTACATGGTGCTTTTCTCTTTATTATGAATAAGAATAAATGCACTTTCTAACGTTATGTTTGTACAAGGACAAAATTCCTACGTTTATCTCGTGCAGTGCCTGTAGGCCTGGGCTGCTGGAGCGTTATATTCTCGTTATAGGGTTAAACTCCCTAGTTGTTTGTTTGTAAAGACAACACACTAGTAGTTTTTTTGTGTATGTCATGCAGCATGTTGCTGATGAGGGCATGCTCCTTTGCAGGTTTGGTGTATGCTTCTGAACGACAAAGTTCAGTTCAGGATGCACTGGCCTCAGAATGCAGACTTACAAGTGAACGGTACAGCTTTTGCTTTTCAGCTTTCTAGTACAGTTGAGATCGCAGACATGATTTGTTATATGATTCATGCGGTCCTATTTTTGTGTCCTCAGACTCAGAGTTTGAGTCATTCTATACTCCAAAATAGAGGTAGACATGTAGTACCTCGAAAGAGGCCCTTGAGTCATGCTGTAGTTCACTAGTATCAAGTAGTGAATTTATCAATTTATTTTTTTGAAGATTTTATTTGTTCATTTATAATTTTATATACTGTATGCAGATATGTACAGTGAGCCTTGTTTAGGTGTTGCAATGCATTTATCTTGGTAAATTCTTTTATGAGCAAGGCATGGAGGATCATTCTCAATATTGGTTTCATGTTTTCATCAGGTATACAAGTGCGAGTAGTTCCCAGGCCTAGCACTCAGTTACTAGGGATTAATGGACGGGATGATGGGCCGGTGGTGAGTGCACTCCTATTTCATCGCTAGTGCATCTTAACCAACAGAACTATGTCTATCATCTGTTTTTAGTCATCTTAAAGTTATCAGTTGCTTTTCTTGGCAATTCATTTTTTTTTGAGAAACAATTCAATTTAATTTAATTGTGAGTCCCTTGTAAACAACACATCTGCACAGTTCAGAGCTTTTATGTTTTTGGACTGCTTTGCAGATAACAACCTTTTGCCGAGAAGGACAGAATAAAATAGTTTTATCAAGTGATGATGCCCGACCATTTTGTTTTGGGATCAGAATTGCAAAGAGGAGGACAGTTGACCAGGTTTTTCTCTCTCTCTCCTGTTACTTACCTAGCTGTTGAAGTGAATTGTAGAAGGTGCAAACTTTTCTGATAATAAACATGCCATCATCTATACTAAAACATTACCTTTTCAGGTTCTAAACTTGGTGCCAAAGGAAGCTGATGGCGAGTCTTTTGAGGATTCTCTTGCTCGTGTTTGTCGCTGTCTCAGAGGTGGAAATACTACAGATGATGCTGACAGCGATAGTGATTTGGAAGTGGTTGCCGACTTCTTTCCTGTCAGCCTGCGTTGTCCTGTGAGCATTTCTCTACATATTTCTGTTTTCCCTCTAGTTATGAGATTGCCTTTATTGTTTTGAATTTTAAGAAAGAATTCCATATATGAACAGTATCTTTGTCATTGATCAATGAGCTGGTTGTCTCTTGATACTGTCCTTTTACATGCCACACTTTCCCTCAAGTTAAGAATGACAGACATCCAAAAAAGTTAAGAATTACTGAGTTGACTCCAACCGAGTGGTTATCTAGCTGTATTTGGCTGCCATTATATTAGTATATCATCACAACGTACAAAATAAGCTTTTCTACAGTGCTTCCTGATATGGAAGCTTCAAGGGTTGAACATTTTTTTATCTGATAATATTTCACAGAATAGTGGATCCCGGATAAGGACTGCGGGAAGGTTCAAGCTTTGTGCTCACATGGGCTCTTTTGATCTGCAAACTTTTGTAGAGCTGAATCAACGGTCACGAAAGGTAAGATTTTATTCCTCCATATCCATAACTAGGATCTCTGCATAATGAACATTGTACTTTGGTCCAACTTGTGTTGGTCCATTTGGCAATGGACGGGGTAATTATGATTGGTTGGTCCATTTAAATGCATACTTTCTTCAGATTGACGTGGCCCTATTTTTAAAGACTTGTTGGTTTTTGCAGTGGCAATGTCCAACATGTCTGAAGAATTATTCTATTGAGAGCTTGATCATTGATCGGTATTTCAACCGGATCGCTTCTCTGGTAGGTTTGAATAAGTCATTTTCATTTTCTGTGTATTGTTAGCAGTTTTATGGTTTTCTTAGACTGTTCCTGTGATTCAGGTTCGGAATTGCGGTGAAGATGTCACTGAGATAGATGTGAAGCCTGATGGCTCTTGGCGTGTGAAGGGTGATGTTGAAGATATAAAATTGTCCCTGTGGCACCTGCCTGACGGCTCCCTGTGTGAACTGAAACAAGACGCTAAACCTGTTGCTGGTGATGTAAAATCTGAAGCTTCAAGAATTGGCAGCAAGGGAAATCTAGGCCTTAATGGATTGTGGGAAGCTAGTAAAGCTGTTGACATAAAGCCCTCAAAGCCTATGAGCAGTAGCCACACTGGAATTTACAGGGATGGGGACTACCTAAGTGTGAGTGAGTGCAGCACGCAAATTGGTGAGATGTACAGAGTTGATGATAGACTACAGCAACAGCTCGAAGATGCAGATGTCATTGTTCTCAGCGACTCCGATGATGACAATGTTGTGACAGTGTCTCCACCAGCTGCCTATAGTGATGTTGGTGGTTTGGGATTTGCTCCCATTTCTGCGCCAGGAGTTGCTGAAAGTTACCAGGAGGGTGGTGTAGTTGGGGGCCTTGGCCTTGATTTGTTCAACGACAACAGCGATATTTTTGACATAACTTCCTGGTCTGCGCAACCCCAACCAGAGCAAGGGTTCAATTTTTTCGGAGCTGATGTTCTACTTGGTTCTCACAATTCATCTGATGCAGCGCCAAGTGCTTATACCCTTGGCTGCCATGCTGGCTCTAGTGACACTTCCATGGTTCGAGATCCTTCTACCTGCCATGTACGCACCAGAAGCTTGGTCGATAACCTGTTGCCTTTCGGCAATGATGATTCTTCTCTGCGGATTTTTCTTCCTATTCAACCATCTGGCGTTCCCGTTCAGGAAGAATGGAATGGACATGACAACATGTCAAATGGGGTCCAGCCTGTTGATGACGATGAAGACGAAGATTGGATATCTCTTACACTTGCGGCGGGTGGAGGTAGTAATGAACAGTCTGAGGCAGCAGATACGGTGAGCACACAAGCACAAATCGCAGTGGAAGAGAGAAGGATGGAACCAGCAGACACGCTGAACCCACAAGCACAAATGACGGTGGAAGAGACAAGGATGGAACCAGCAGATGTGTTGAACCCGCAAGCGCAAATTGCAGTGGAAGAGACAAGGATAGAACCAGCAGATGCGTTGAACCCACAAGCACAGATTGCAGTGGAAGAGAGGACGGAACCAGCAGATGCGTTGAGCCCACAAGCACAAGTTACAGTGGAAGAGAGAAGGATGGAACCAGCAGACATTGTTAACCCACAAGCGCAAATTGCAGTGGAAGAAAGAAGAATGGAACCGGCAGAGACGTCGAACCGACAAGCACAAGCACAGATTGCACTGGAAGAGAGAAGGATGGAACCATTGAGTGATGCTGGTTCGTCTCTTTACTATGAGTTCAGTTTTATCTTTTGTGTTATTTATCCGTTTTTCTCCTGATTGATTAACTCCGCTGATAAACTGATTAAACTGGCCCAATACTTTGTGCCAGTGTTTAGTTGGTTTAGTGTTGACAGCCTTTTGTTTTTCTTTTCCCCGTGTTGTTTGCAGAAGGCTCGCCTCCCAGCTTGAATGATGAGAGGCGTAACAAAGGGAATTCAAAAACAAGGGCTGAAAAGATATTTTCTCCTCCGCGGCAGCCTCGATCCGTCAGGCCTCGACTAACGACACAGCAGTGACGTTGAGTAGTTCTTCTTTCTTACTTTGGATAGCTGTGAAATCATGATGTACTTGTGGCCGATGTAAAGAAGAACCAACATGAATGTTTTCATAGTTTAACCTGATGTATAAACTACAGAAGTTTCAAGTGCTGGAAATGAGGGTGCGCCTGAAGGACATCTGACGGTGAGTACTACTACAGTTTTCCTAAGAATGCAAATTTGCAGTTTTGGCGAATAATGGGAATATTTAGGTTCAAACTGGATTGTTTTTAGATATACCGTTCAGACCATATAGATAGCTACACCTTATGAAGGAAGAAATGTGCACATGGCTAAGTTTTAAGATTAGTTTGCTCTGGCTTTCTGCTTCTCTTTTACTAGGAGATACAGATGGCTTTATGCTTGCCAGCATCGATACGGAAGTATGCTATAATGCTATATAGGTTAACTGTCTTAGTCCATGGATGATATATCATACGTATTGTGGTTTTTGTTGATTCACACGCATAATATATTATGTCCTAAACTGATTTCAGTTTATGAAGTTGAGAGATTCCAAAATAGGCATCTTGTTGCAATGATATCATATGGTAAAAACCGGGAAGCTTTATCCAATATTTTTACATTGTTGCTGTTTAAGCCTGGCACAGTGAGTAGCATCATTCATGTAGTCCTTTTTTCTTTTCGTCGCGTGGAGATTCAGCTAGTGATGCATTGAAATTGTTTACCAGGTGATGTAGTGTAATTGATCGGAAAAATAATAATGCACTGACGTGTGTTTGTGTTTTTCAACATTGGTGCAGACATAACAGGAAGTGAGCAAGGAAGGCTTGATAGGTTTTGTGGCAGTCTGCTGCAGCATATTGTACATTTGAGCACCAGACTATGTAAAAATATATATGTGCTTTGCCGAAATGGAAGGCAAACAAATAGAGATGTGGAGGTTTGTGTATCATTAAATTGTAATTAGGGGTTGGCTTGTGTGTTGCTAATATTGAGTGAGATGCCCTAGTATACTTCCTACTCTTTCCGGAAATTAAATTATTTTTTCATGTTTACTATTATTACATTCTTTTTTCATGTTTCTTGTGTATGCTTGTTACTCTTTTCCGGAATTTTGTTCATGATTATTATTATTACATTCCATGAACAACAAATGCAGGCCAGGTGATAACCTGGAAAATGTAGCATCATATCATTTATTCTTTTTATGCATCACACTGTAAGCACGTGTGAAAAATAAATGTACTTGCTGCATTGTTGGTGTGCATCTATCTATCAATCTCTGGCCGGCCGGCCGTCCGTCCTAATTTTAGTTAGTCAGCCTAACAACCACCGGAACACATCCATCCATCCAGAATTAAGCAAGCAAGCAAAACTAGACTAAATCTGGTTTCTTCCCTTGTTTCCTCGCCGGCCGGGTAACAGACAGCAAACGCCGTACGTACTCGGATCGATCGATCGATGCACGGCTGCCGGAGATGAGCTGCTTCTCATGCTTCAAGCCACCGCAGGCGGACGGCGAGGAGGAGGAGGAGGAGGAGGAGGTGGACAAGGCACCGGCGGTGGCGCCCCTGCCGTCGGTCAAGCGGCTCGGCTCCCGGCGAAGAAGCCTGCGCTCCTCCTCCTCCAGCAAGTCCGGCGGCAGCTTCGCGGCAAGCCGGCAGCCGAGCACGCGGCCCAGCAACATCACCAGCTGCAGCGCGCGCTCCTTCACCTACGAGCAGCTCGCGGCGGCCACGGGCGACTTCCGCGCCGACTGCCTGCTGGGCGAGGGCGGCTTCGGCCGCGTCTACCGGGGGCGCCTGGACGACGGCCAGCTGGTGGCGGTGAAGCAGCTGGACCTGGAGGGCCTGCAGGGCGACCGCGAGTTCGTGGTGGAGGTGCTCATGCTCAGCCTCCTCCACCACCACAACCTCGTCAGCCTCGTCGGCTACTGCTCCCACGGCCACCAGCGTCTGCTCGTCTACGAGTACATGGCGCTCGGCTCCCTCGCCGACCACCTCCTCCTCCTCGACGACCGCTTCGCCGGCGAGGGTACCCCGAGGGCGAGGGCGAGGGCGGCGCTGAGCTGGGAGACGCGGATGCGGGTGGCGCTGGGCGCCGCCCGTGGCCTCGAGTACCTCCACGAGACGGCCAACCCGGCCGTCATCTACCGCGACCTCAAGTCCTCCAACGTCCTCCTCGACGACGCCTTCTGCCCCAAGCTCTCCGACTTCGGCCTCGCCCGCCTCTGCAGCACCTCCTCCTCCGCCGCCGGCCCCGGCCCCGCCGAGCGCTCCCCGCGCGTCATGGGCACCTACGGCTACTGCGCGCCCGAGTACATCCGCACCGGCCGCCTCAGCGTCAAGTCCGACGTCTACAGCTTCGGCGTCCTCCTGCTCGAGCTCATCACGGGCCGCAGGGCTGTGGACTCGGCCAGGCCGGCGCCGGAGCAGGTGCTCGTCACATGGGCCGCGCCCATGTTCAAGGACAGCAAGCGCTACCGCGAGCTCGCCGACCCGCTGCTCCGGGGCGACTTCCCCGAGCGCGACCTCAACCAGGCCGTGGCCGTGGCCGCCATGTGCCTGCAGGACCAGGCGTCCGCGAGGCCGTGCATGAGCGACGCCGCCGTCACGCTCTCCTTCCTCGCCGAGGCCGCCGCCGCCAGCGCCGCGCAGCCGCTACCGTTGCCCCCGCCCCAGCTGCAGGCCGATGAAACCTTGCGAGAAGAAGAAGAAGCCTAGATGAGATAGCATAATTAGCTTGAGCTTAATTAATTCATTATTAGGATGGATGGAGTCGACCGTACCTAATGTGTTGATTGATTTTGGCGCCATTGGTTGTAGTTTTGATGGATCAAGTAGATGATACTTGTATGAGTACCTGATGATGAGTTGCATTGGAAAGAGCTAGAGACAAACTTTGCACATCGATAGTAATCTTTTTTTCAGTGCCACCTGTCATATTAACTTTGATCAGACCGGAATCGAGACATGACGCATTCGCGCTACGGCTAATAGTCGACAGCGGGCCGACGTCTCAAGGTGGAGGAGGAGGGGGAAAGATGAGGAGATGTGCGATGGCATGAGGGAAAGGGAAGGAAAGGGAAGGGACATACGCAACATTGAAAGAGAGGGCACAAAGGTTGGTGGAGATTCTCTCTTTTCCCCTACCCATACCGAGTTGCCCTCGCGTGCAGCCGGGAGGGATCCCTTGCCATCACCGTCATCGCCCCCCCCCCCCTTCTGCCACTCCACCCCTCCTCACCCATGATGACCCACAAGTATAGGGGATCTATCGTAGTCCTCTCGATAAGTAAGAGTGTCGAACCCAACGAGGAGCAGAAGGAAATGATAAGCAGTTTTTAGTAAGGTATTCTCTGCAAGCACTGAAATTATAGGTAACAGATAGTTTTGTGATAGGATAATTTGTAACGAGCAACAAGTAACAAAAGTAAATAAAGTGCAGCAAGGTGGCCCAATCCTTTTTGTAGCAAAGGACAAGCCTGAACAAATTTTTATATAGAGAAAAGCGCTCCCGAGGACACATGAGAATTATCGTCAAGCTAGGTTTCATCACGATCATATGATTCACGTTCGATACTTTGATAATTTGGTATGTGGGTGGACCGGTGCTTGGGTGCTGTCCTTACTTGGACAAGCATCCCACTTATGATTAACCTCTATTACAAGCATCCGCAGCTACAACAAAAGTATTAAGGTAAACCTAACCATAACATGAAACATGTGGATCCAAATCAGCCCCTTACGAAGCAACGCATAAACTAGGGTTTAAACTTCTGTCACTCTAGCAACGCATCATCTACTTATTACTTCCCAATGCCTTCCTCTAGGCCCAAATAATGGTGAAGTGTCATGTAGTCGACATTCACATAACACCACTAGAGGAGAGACAACATACATCTCATTAAAATATCGAACGAAGACCAAATTCACATGACTACTAATAGCAAGACTTCTCCCATGTTCTCAAGAACAAACGTAACTACTCACGAAGCATATTCATGTGCATAATCAGAGGGGTATTAATATGCATATAGGATCTGAACATATGATCTTCCACCAAATAAACCAACTAGCATCAACTACAAGGAGTAATCAACACTACTAGCAACCTACAGGTACCAATCCTGGACTTGGAGACAAGAATTGGATACAAGAGATGAACTAGGGTTTGAGAGGAGATGGTGCTGGTGAAGATGTTGATGGAGATTGACCCCCTCCCGATGAGAGGATCGTTGGTGATGACGATGGTGATGATTTCCCCCTCTCGGAGGGAAGTTTCCCCGGCAAAACAGCTTCGCCAGAGCCCTAGATTGGTTCCGCCTCATGGCGACGGAGTCTCGTCCGGAAAGATGGCTTATGATTTTTTTCCTCATCGAAAGACTCCATATAGCAGAAGATGGGCATCGGAGGGCCACCAGGGGACCCATGAGGCAGGGGGGCGCGCCCAGGGGTAGGGCGCGCCCCCATCCTCGTGGGCAGGGTGTGGCCCCCTCTGGAACTTCTTGCGCTCATTATTTTTTATATATTCTAAAAATGACTTTCGTGAAGTTTCAGGACTTTTGGAGCTGTGCAGAATAGGTCTATAATATTTGCTCATTTTTCAGCCCAGAATCCCAGCTGTCGGGATTCTCCCTCTTTATGTAAACTTTGTAAAATAAGAGAGAATAGGCATAAGCATTGTGACATAATGTGTAATAACAGCCCATAATGCAATAAATATCGATATAAAAGCATGATGCAAAATGGACGTATCAACTTCCCCAAGCTTAGACCTCACTTGTCCTCAAGCGAAAGCCGAAATCGAAAAATATGTCCACATGTTTAGAGATAGAGTTGTCGATAAAAATAAAATACGGACATGAGGGCATCGTGATCATTCTTAGAACAACAACTTATATAATTCTTGCCATATGATCTCTTATGCTAGAGTAATAATTCAATCACAATTTCAAATATGAATCGTAAACTTCATTGAAAACTAACAAACTATAATCTCAGTCATTGGAGCAATTGCAATTTATCATAACATAGGAAAGAGTTAATGTATAAGAGCTTTTCAGCAAGTCCACATACTCAACTATCATATAGTCTTTCATAATTGCTGACACTCACGCAATACTTATGGATATGGAGTTTTAATCGGACACAGAGAAAAGATAGGGGCTTATAGTTTTGCCTCCCAACGTTTTACCTCAAGGGTAATGTCAACAATAATAGTTCATGAAAACTCACATCCAATTAGCCATATATACCAGGATCTTTCCAACATACTGTGCTCGCCAAAGGATAAAATGTAAAAATGAAGGGTGAAGATCACCATGACTCTTATGCAAGGTAGGAGATAAAAGTAAAAGATAGGCCCTTCGCAGAGGGAAGCAGAGGTTGTCATGCGCTTTTATGGTTGGATGCACAAAATCTTAGTGCGAAAGAACATCACTTTATATTGCCACTTGTGATATGGACCTTGTAGGGGAACGTAGTAATTTCAAAAAATTTCCTACGCACAAGCAAGATCATGGTGATGTATAGCAACGAGAGGGGAGAGTGTGATCTACGTACCCTTGTAGATCGACAGCGGAAGCGTTAGCACAACGCGGTTGATGTAGTCGTACGTCTTCACGGCCCGACCGATCAAGCACCGAAACTACGGCACCTCCGAGTTCTAGCACACGTTCAGCTCGATGACGATCCCCGGACTCCGATCTAGCAAAGTGTCGGGGAAGAGTTCCGTCAGCACGACGGCGTGGTGACGATCTTGATGTACTACTGTTGCAGGGCTTCGCCTAAGCACCGCTACAATATTATCGAGGACTATGGTGGCAGGGGCGCCGCACACGGCTAAGAATATGATCACGTGGATTAACTTGTGTGTTTCTGGGGTGCCCCTGCCTCCGTATATAAAGGTTCAAGAGGGGGAGGCTGGCCGGCCACCATAGGGCGCGCCAGGAGGAGTCCTACTCCCTCCGGGAGTAGGACTTCTCCCCCAATCCTAGTTGGAATAGGATTCGTGAGGTGGAAAAGAGAGAGAGAGAAGGAGGGGGGCGCCGACCCCCTCTCTCCTTGTCCTATTCGGACTAGGGGGGAGGGGAGCGCGACCCTAGCCCTGGCCGCCTCTTCTCTTCTTCCACTAAGGCCCATTAAGGCCCATTTAGCTCCCGGGGGGTTCCGGTAACCTCTCGGTACTCCGGTAAAATCCCGATTTCACTCGGAACACTTCCGATATCCAAACATAGGCTTCCAATATATCAATATTTATGTCTCGACCATTTCGAGACTCCTCGTCATGTCCATGATCACATCCGGGACTCCGAACAACCTTCGGTACATCAAAACGTATAAACTCATAATATAACTGCCATCGAAACCTTAAGCGTGCGGACCCTACGGGTTCGAGAACAATGTAGACATGACCGAGACATGTCTCCGGTCAATAACCAATAGCGGGACCTGGATGCCCATATTGGCTCCTACATATTCTACGAAGATCTTTATCGGTCAGACCGCATAACAACATACGTTGTTCCCTTTGTCATCGGTATGTTACTTGCCCGAGATTCGATCGTCGGTATCCAATACCTAGTTCAATCTCGTTACCGACAAGTCTCTTTACTCGTTCCGTAATACATCATCTCGTAACTAACTCATTAGTTGCATTGCTTGCAAGGCTTAAGTGATGTGCATTATCGAGAGGGCCCAGAGATACCTCTCCGACGATCGGAGTGACAAATCCTAATCTCGAAATACGTCAACCCAACATGTACCTTTGGAGACACCTGTAGAGCACCTTTATAATCACCCAGTTATGTTGTGACGTTTGGTAGCACACAAAGTGTTCCTCCGGCACACGGGAGTTACATAATCTCATAGTCATAGGAACATGTATAAGTCATGAAGAAAGCAATAGCAACATACTAAACGATCGGGTGCTAAGCCAATGGAATGGGTCATGTCAATCAGATCATTCAACTAATGATGTGATCCCGTTAATCAAATAACAACTCTTTGTCAATGGTTAGGAAACATAACCATCTTTGATTAACGAGCTAGTCAAGTAGAGGCATACTAGTGACACTCTGTTTGTCTATGTATTCACACATGTATTATGTTTTCGGTCAATACAATTCTAGCATGAATAATAAACTTTTATCATGATATAAGGAAATAAATAATAACTTTATTATTGCCTCTAGGGCATATTTCCTTCAGACCTTTATTATGCAGTCTGTCGCTTTTATTTCTTCCATATCACACGATCGTATAAAGCTTATTTTCTCCCACACTAATAAGTCATACATATTTAGAGAGCAATTTTTATTGCTTGCACCGATGACAACTTACTTGGAGGATCTTTCTCAATCCATAGGTAGGTATGGTGGACTCTCAGGCAAAACTGGTTTAAGGGTGTTTGGAAGCACAAGTAGTATCTCTACTTGGTGCATAGAATTTGGCTAGCATGAGGGGGAAAGGCAAGCTCAATCATGTTGGATGATCCATGACAATATAATTTATCTCAGATGTAAGAAAACATAACCCATTACGTTGTCTTCCTTGTCCAACGTCAACTCTTTAGCATGTCATATTTTAACAAGTGCTCACAATCATAAAAGATGTCCAAGATAGTGTATTTATATGTGAATACATCTCTTTCTTTATTACTTCTTATTAATTGCAACGATGACCAAAACTATGTTTGTCAACTCTCAACAACTTTTAATCAT